TGGGATTACAGGCACGCACCACCACGCCCGGCTAATTTTTGTATTTTTAGTAGAGACAGGGTTTCACCATGTTGGTCAGGCTGGTTTCGGACTCCTGACCTCAGGTGATCCACCCACCTCGGCCTCCCAAAGTGCTGGATTATAGGCATGAGCCACCACACCCGGCCCCCATTTGTTTTTGAAGCTGTGATCTAGACCTAATGAATGAATATCAGAAGGTCCTTTAGCCATGGAGTTCAGCCTCCTGCTATACTGACGAGGAAGCAGAATCCCGCCCAGGCTGAAGGCAGCGTGCGGGGCAGTGGAGGAAGTGCTGGATTAGATGGCAGACACACCTGGGTTTAGTCCAGGCGCTGTCATTTACCAGGTGTTCAACCTTGGGCAAATGACTTCTTTCCCCTGGGCCTCAGTTTCTTCATTGGCGAGACGGAGGAAAGAACCCTACCAGTACTCTGTCTGACGGCCCAGGATAGTGCCAGAGCGTCTCAGAAGGCTGCACGGCTGAAAGGGCTTCTTGTCCTCCCTGTCCCTCTGCCCTTGGTGGCCCCTTATCCCACACAAGGACCTAGTCTAGAGACTGCCTTTCAGTTGGATCCCCAGCGAAACACAGTGGGAATGGCTGGCTGGCTTGGTGGCAGCCCAGAGGTCCCCCAGGTTTGAAAGGCTCATGCCACCCTCTTCCCCTGTTCTGGGACCATCCCAGTGGTGAAAAGGGAAGGCAGTCGAAAGAGAATGCTCCCCTTTCTGTCAAGGCCGAAAGTGTGCCCCTGGACAGGACTGTGGCCAAAACGATGAGGAGTTTTGAGGCATGGGAAGGGGACCCTGGGGTTGGGTCTAGAGCCGTGGTTCTGCCTCCTTCACCACTAGACACAGTTCCACAGCTGGGCAGCCTCCCACAGCTGGACTCTGTCCACCTGCTAGCACCATCACACACTTAGGAGGATCATTGCTGGGACTGGGTTGTAGCCCCATGGAGCTCCTAGCTGTATCTTTGCTTGTTAATCACCTGTCATGCCAGGCCACCATGGGGAACTCCCCCATCCGCCTTTGCAGGCCTGAGCTCAGCAAGCTGGAAAGAGGCAGCAGGCAACTTTCAGAATGAAATCTGTTTTCCTAACCCTCCCGTCACAGTCATTCATACCCAGCACGCTGAAGCATATTTTTAGTCACTTTGCAGAATTTAAAATACACCTCGAAGGCGCCAAGAAACACCAGCTTGGGGATTAACTCTGTTCACAAGAGACAGTGGAGGGGGGCGGGGGGGTGCCTCGTGCTGCGTCACCCGTTGGCTATGCCATGACTCACTGTGGCCGACAGCTTCATCAGATGCACCTGCCTGCGGACGTGGGGTCCAGAAAAGCCTGTAGTGGGGACTGAGCTCCAGCCCTCGGGGATAATGCCAGAGGCCAGGGCAGCTCCAGCCCTGCCACAGACTCACTGCCTGTTCATAATGGGTCACATCGGTGCCCTGGGACTTGTCTGTGAAACACAGGGAATAATTAACTGGTTTCCGAGGGTCTGACCAGTTCTAACATTCTGTCCTCTGCACTTTGTACAGGATTTTAATTTCAGTTAAAGCCCTAGACAGGTGAATGGGGGAGGGAAAGGGGAGATCATCACAGAGCCACAGCACCTGAGGAGGGGAGAAACCGTGATGAGATGCCAGGAACGCAGGAGCTCCCCAACCACTCCCCTTAGGAGGCAGACCCCTGCCCCGTCCCACCAAGGGGAAGTGACCACCCATGGATTTCCAGACTGAATCCCATCCTGCCATCTGCCCCCAGATACAGAAACGGAGACCCAGAGAGTGGGTGTCATGTTCAGGGTCATGCCACACACCAGGGCACAGCTGAGCTGGGACCCGCCTCCTGTCTGCCACTGCGGGCTTTGTACCCTTGCTAGCATGTACCTGGAAGTCTGAAGCTTGGAGATGTGGTCCCTCAGGAGAGAAGGGCCCTTCTGAATATCCTGTTTCTGTTGGGCGCCAATCAGAGCCCTGGTTCTCCCTGCCAGGGGCTGCCGGCCACTCTGTGGGGCAAGGGTAGGGTCCTGGTGCCTACACAGGAATGGGTCGGGAGTAGATTAGGGGCTGGATCTGGGTTGCCCCGGGGAGATGGGCGACACAGCCCACCATGACTGGTGGAGGTCTAGGTTCTGGGCCCTCCCTGAACTGTTTAAATCGGGACGTGTGAGCATTGGAGGAGCCACCGGCTCTCCAGCCGGCGCCCCTGACTTTAGTTATCTGAGACTCCTCCCTGCAGTTCGCCCAAATACGCTAGGCTCAAGCCCTCGGCCCGGCTCCCAGAGCCTCCCCCGGCAGTCCATGCCCGAGGCAGGGGTTGGGTGAAGGGTACTGAGTAGGTGCTGGGAGCCCCGTCACTGGCACCCTGCTCCCAGCTCCGTAGCCGGAGCAAACCTTCTTCCGCTCCCCGCGGGCGTTCACGGCCGGGCGGCCCCGGCGTGACTGCGCCCCCGTTAGCGGGAGGGGCTCTGCCGCCCTGGCCCCTCGCCCCTGGGCGCCCATCCCCGGGGCAGCACGTGCGGGGCGGGGCTGTGGCCCGAGCCCGGAGCTGATTGGGCGCGGGCCCGGTGGGCGGGGCCGGGCCGCAGCTGTCAGAGCCGCGGCGGCGGCGGCGGCGGCGCATCGAGCTGAGCGGTGGCGGCGCCGCAGCCGGGGTCGGAGCGCAGGAGCCGACGGGGCCCGACCGGGATGGTGCAGCGGCGGCTCCGCGGCGCACACACGCGCTGAGCGGGCCCAAGCTGGGCCCCGCGCCCCCCGCGCCTCCCGCCGCCCCGATCCCGGCCGGCATGATGTGCCTGGAATGCGCCTCGGCGGCGGCGGGCGGCGCGGAGGAGGAGGAGGCGGACGCGGAGCGGCGGCGCCGGCGCCGGGGGGCGCAGCGAGGGGCTGGCGGTAGCGGTTGCTGCGGGGCGCGGGGCGCGGGCGGCGCTGGAGTCTCGGCCGCGGACGATGAGGTGCAGACGCTGTCGGGCAGCGTAAGGCGGGCCCCGACCGGACCCCCCGGCACCCCTGGCACCCCCGGCTGCGCAGCTACTGCAAAGGGCCCCGGCGCGCAGCAGCCCAAACCGGCCAGCTTGGGCCGCGGGCGGGGGGCAGCCGCCGCTATCCTCAGCTTGGGCAACGTGCTCAACTACCTGGACAGGTACACCGTGGCAGGTGAGCGAGGGCCCCACCCAGCCCGAGGACCAGGACCCCACCCCATCCCACCACCCGCCTCGAGGGAGGTACCCCAGAGAGCTTTTGGTCCCAGGCCTACTATCTCCAGGACCTACGTGAGGTCCCTACGGACCCTCTGCTCAGGCACAACTGGGCAAGGGATGCCTCTGTGCTCCACGGGTACAATCCAGCTCCCCGCTCATACACACCCGGGGCCAAGGGTTAGGTGAGTCCCCACCCCTGGAGCAGCCCGCGCGTCCTCGCCAGCCCTTGACGGCTCATCCGTTGTCCTCTTCTCCAAGAGTCTCCTCTGCGTCTCTCTGCCTCCTTGTCTGTGCGCCCCCTCCGACCCCAGCTGCAGGTTCCCGGGCCTCCTTCCCTTCCCCCAGCCCAGGCCGTCTGTCCGTCCGTGGCCCGTCAGTTCCTTCCTTTCTCCGCCGCCTCCACCCCCCTGCGTGCGTGCGGCGAGTGCGCGCGCCCCTTGCGGGTGTGGGCTAGGGAGACCGGGTGTGTGTGCGCGTGGCGGCGCGGTTGTGTGTGTGAGCGCGTGGCTGACAAAGGCTCCGGGCTGCGGGGAGCGGAGGGAGGGGCGGGGCGGGTCCGCGGCGCCTGGGGACCCAGGCTGCGGTTTGCAGCTGGCCCTGTACAGAGGCCTGAAGACGCCTCCCCCTGCTCTGTGGTGCTTGGGGTGTAGGGTAGGGCGCAGGCCTGTGAAGCTAGAGACGTGGAGCCTCAACCTCAGGGAGCATCTCTGGGAATCAGCCTTGGGGACGGGATTGGGATCGATAGAACAACTGGGTTCTAGCCCCGGATTTGCTCCTAATGTGCTTGGTGTGTGACCTTGGGCCAGTCTCAGCGTGTGTTTAGGTCTGTTTGCTCGTTTGTGAGTTGATTGATCATTGGGCCTTTGGGGGACGCACGTGGTTCTGGAATTTCCTTCTGCTGGCTTCCCTCCCCAGCTCTTAGGGGTGGCTCTAGGGGTAAGAATTTGCCCTAGACTGAGCTGCTACTGGTTGGGAATGGTGGCGCCTTGAGAGGGAAGGACTTTGGCCAGACTGGCATAGGTAGGGGCTCCCTGCAGGAGGAGAGCAGTACTGTGTGCCCGGCATGCTGGCCCAGAAACTGCCTAACTATAGCTTAGTAAAATCTGGAGCTACCAAACACACACACAACAGAGAGAGAGAGAGGAGAGAGGGAAGGATTTATTTTGGACAGACTCTAAAGAGAACTTTGCGGCAGTTGAGAGAAGAGAGCCCGGGCATAAACCACACACCACGTGGTGCCTTTCTCCGGGCCTCAGTCTCCCCCTCTGTTGAATGGAGTTTTGTGTCAAATGGAAGGGAAGAATTCTGATGGGAGGGCAGAGGCTTCCCCCTCCCCCCATTCCTGCTTTCAAACCCCCTTGGCTCTCTGTCATTCCACTGGAGGAAGTTGGAAGTGGGTACCAGTGGCATCCGTTTCTGGGTCGAGCAGTCCCAAAGAGATACTTACTTTGGTCTAGCGAGCAGGAATATTGAGCACCTCCCAAGAACGCCAACTGTTGTCGTGCATACACCATGCCGCCAGGGACCTGGGAGCGTAAGTGCCACGCTTTGGGGGAGAAATCAGAGAATAGCTGGGACCTGTAGTCAGTTCAAAATTCCGTACATAGATGGGGGGGACCAAGGTCCCTGTACAGCCCCCGTCCAAGATGGCCAGGAAAGTGACTGGCAAAGCTGGTGTTAGATCTAACAGTAAGGCTCTGCCTGGGGGGAGGTCTTCCCACCCCTTCTCAGCTGAAGAATGAATGGTACTACTTCTGGCACTGGAGCGCTCTCCAACTTGTTTTTTTCCAGCCCCAGACCACCCCCTTTGACGTTCTTAGGGGAACTGCCTCTGCCAGGGGCAGAGCCAGAGAGGGTGGAATCAGGGAGGGCTGGCGCTTATCTGCTCCCACCTCTAAGCGGGTCTCAGAGTTAGATTGTCAGAACGGGGGAATGAGATAGGAAATTTGTGGTGAATTGGTAAAAGGAAGTGGGGAGTGGTGGCTAAGAGGGGCGTGGGGCGGGCAGTTAGGGAGGAAGGCCTGGAAAACCCTGTGCAAACACCCGCCTGGGCTGTGCCTCCCTCCCTCTCCTGGCCTGGGATGGGAGCTCGCACACCACCCCACCCCCAGCACACAACAGACACAGGTTTCCTCTCCGGATAAGCCTGGTTGCCCCTCTCTCTCTGGTAGATTTCCCCATCTCCACTTCCCCAAGTTCAGTTTTTAGGAATATTTATTATCTCTATGGTAACTACTATGGCTTGATGTGCTAGGGTCAGGGGAGTGCTCATCCCAGGCCTGAGTGCACCTGTTGCTGGCTGGCCCGGCTGGGACAGAGGCGGCGATGTAGACACTCCATTGCTCAGTCTTTAATGTTTGCACCTACCTGGCGTCAGTTCCCCACTAGAGAATGAAGGGAGGTCCCACTGTCCTCCTTTAAATCTGTCCTTAAAATCTGTTTTTTCATAGTATAGACCAGCTTTGTCCAAAAGGATGTAAGCCACATATTCATGTCAAATTTTCTGGTAGCTGAATGAAAATAGTACAAGAAATAGGTGTGATTGATTCATAATATATTTTATTTAACTCATTATATCCAACATATTTCAACATGTAATCAATATAAAAGTTGTTAGGGCCAGGTGCGGTGGTTCATGTCTGTAAACCCAGCACTTTGGGAGGATCACCTGAGGTCGGAAGTTCGAGACCAGTCTGGTCAACATGGTGAAACCCCGTCTCTATTAAATACAAAAATTAACTGGCATGGTGGTGCACACCTGTAGTCTCAGCTACTCGGGAAGCTGAGGCAGGAGAATCGCTTGAACCCAGGAGGTAGAGGTTGCAGTGAGCCAAGATCGCGCCACTGCACTCTACCCTGGGCAACAGAGTGAGACTCTGTCTCAAAAAAAAAAAATACATACACACACACACACACACACACATATATATGTGTTGTTAATGGGATATTTTGCCTCCTTTTTCATACTAAGTCTTTGAAACCCAGTGTGTGTATTTTCCATTCACAGCACATGTCAATATCATGGTGGCCAGGGGCCACTAGAGTGGACAGTGCAGGTCTAGAGTCTTTCCTGACCAAGTTCGAGGCAAGGCTCTTCCGATTCCCAGCCGTGTGACCTTGAAGACATCACCTGAGCCTTCGGTGTGATCATTCCCCTCCCGCCCGCCTCCCGGGTTGCGTGGGATAAATGAGACTGTATCTCGAGCACCTGGGACGGGGCCAGATTCCTCGGAGGGCTTCATGAGTGCCAGCTGCTTTCTCCTTCATACCTCTGCTCAAGCTGGGCCCCTGGCCACGATGCCCTTCCTGTTTTATTATTATTATTTTTTTTGTCGTTCTGTTTTTTTGTTCTGTTTATGACAGTCCTTTTCAGGACACCTTTGCGAACCCCTCCCTTCTCCACAGGGCTGGTCTCCATCCTGGGAACTCTAGTAGCTTCTGCCTCTGCGCAAGCATTCCCAGCGCCACCCGGTGAACCTGCTAATTACGGCCTCTCCTCCGCCCCATGAGAACTCCCTGAGGGCAGCAGGCCTCAGAGCGGGTGAGGAGGGCCAGGCTCCTGTGCTTGCTCTGCTTACTGAGCGTTGCTTCAATTGGATGAAATTGAGGTAGCCCAGAAACCTCTTCTAATTCCTTCCTTGCACCTCCTTGTGCAGATGGGAACACAGCCGTCCAGAGAACAAAGACACTTACCCAAGGTCACACGCGGGGCGGAGCAGGGCCATACCAGCCAGTGCAGCATCCTCTGCAGCCCCAGGAGCCCCGGGTGGAGGTCGGGGCGTGACCCTTGCTTGTGGCCCAGAACGCAGAGGCTCTGCTGGCTCAGGCAAGAGCCCTTTGGGTAGATGAATTTCAGTTTAATTGAGCCAAGGCAGTTTGAGCTCCTCTAGGGCACCTGGCTGCTGCTCCCATGGTCCCTACCAGCCTAGCAGCCACCCACTCTGCATTCTCAGCCCACTCCTCACTGCCAGGTCAGGAGAAGGAGGTAGTCCCTCAGACGGGGGTCTCACGCCCCCTCTAACCAGCTCTGCTTCCT